ACCAAAGAATGTGATATGGGAAAAGGCCTGGCTTTTTATGATCTCCATATCTTACCTGTGATCCGAGGGTACTCGTGGCAATGTGGCGTATTAGTTGTCGTGTCGTCATTAAATGCTGCCCTTTCATACTTCGAGTCCGTTGAGGATGTTGCTAAGACCTATGCCAGGCCTAAACTGCAGTCTACCCAGAATGACAACTTTTATAAAAGCAGGTCTATGTGGATTTCGATGGCAATGTCAGTTCTATTAATATAATTGCGGGAATATTTGACTACCAGTCCTTCATCACAAATGAATTAGGGTGTATACCTTTCCTTTGATCTTCTCATCGTTCTGCGACTCCGATGAGCCTATGCTAACCTCTCGTTTGTCTCGAGGCAGACATCGTTAGATTGGTATATTTTGGTAAATTTTTGTGCTATTTCGTAGAATGTAGTTGCTTGCTCCAATGATGTCTTCCACATGATAGACATGAGTTTATCACGGCTTCATTCGAGTCGCAGGAGGGTGAGAAGCAGAATTGTAGTTCGGTTTCCGGTGATACCAATTCACTCATTTCCCACCAAAATGCAAAGTAGAATCATAATAAAACTTTCCTATTTACCCTATTTCACCACAGCTCATGCACCACGACAGATCGATCAAATTCAGTCGTCCACATGCACACAAGCTTCACATTATATCTCTCTGACTGACCCATCACATCACGATAGGCCGCTTGCTATGAACCAATCAGAGATTGAGCACACATTTTCTAAGTATGAAGACTGCTAAAATTACGAGAACTTTGAGCATAACGCCGGGTCCTGTCGGCCTGGGCCGTCTGAACTCTGATCGCCTGATCTCTCTCTCTCGCCCGACGCTCTCATGTCTACATCATTTTGATCCATATGGGCTGTGTGTATTACGGATAAGTTATGTACCAGCTCGTCGTAGCGCGTACATGCATATTCATGAAGTTAGATAGGAACATGTGGACGGTTTTGGGACGGACTCGCCCTAAAGATAGGCTGGACGAGCGACAAACACGCCCGGGTCATCGTGTCTACGCTTCTTTTTCAGACCGCCTTAGTCGACTTGTCGACAGTTAGCAACCGCCCATCCATTCGTCGGCAGCTAAGGCAATTTTGGTACAGACATAATGGCTGGTTATTGGACGAGATGGTGTGGATACACAGTCCGGCAAGATGGGCTCCGGACGGGGCCATGTTGACGGGCAGGAAGCCGAAGAACGTCTGCCAGGCAGCACTACCGAGGCGTCGAGGTGGGCGGGAGTAGTACGTCAGCGGATCGGCTGCATCTCTTGCCACTCGACGACTTGCTTGTCCGGCCGTTCCAGCATCGCCTTCCACTGCTTCATGCCTCGTCCCTTGGACACCATATCGCTGCCGAGCACGACGAAGGCGAGTTGCTTGTCTGAAAGACGGAGAGGAAAAGGTGTATAATCGGAGTCTGTGGGAGAGGCGAGGTTGGAGTGGAAACTGATGTCGCGGTTTCGAGTCGACCTTTCGCTCACACTCGAGGTCGGTTCGGCCGACCCGGAGTCAAACCCCTCTTGAGCTGAACCGAGTGACCGGCGCAAAAGGTCTTGCTGGCCCTGGTGACAACTGTCGACCCCCAAACGCGTAGGTCTCCAAGCCCTCCTTTCATCGGGCAAGAGAATCCCACTTGCTCTGACCCACTTGAAGCGATGTAGAGATTAGTAGGTTCGTCACTTAACGACCCTCGTCAGAGCTGGGAGTCATACCTGCAAAACCTCAAGTTAACACTTAATCAAGAAGACTGACCTGCTTTTTCGACGTAATATATATACTCATTGCGAGCACAATTGAAGATATTAATGGATATGGGAAAGTTTGGTTAATCGGGTGTCTCTGTGTGTGTATGTATGGTGACGTCTTCGAAACTCGCATTTTCTTCGTATACTCAAAAGAGCTGTCGAGGAAGCGGTAAAATGACACGGAAGTGGGGATTTCTGCCCATTTCACTGAAATAGACCCACATTTCGCTCTTAAACTCACCCGATTAATCTATAATATATAGATTTCCCGCTTTACTGAGGTTGCATTTATAAGGAAAAGCAGTTCGGACGACTTCAACAAGCCCTAAGACAGGAACTGTGGTCAGCTGCAATCCAGCCTATCTTTTATTGAAGTTTTTTGACCTTGTTTTCGCAACTCGGTCGTGGTGTCAGGGCGAACTAGAGAAACACACCTTGTCCGTAGTCCATAGTGAGCATGATACTTCCTAGAATCGAGTGGTGCAGTTGGTACATTCTCAGAAGTTTCGCCGGCATCATAGTCAGCATCATCAGTTAGCCTTGCCATTCTTAACACCACACTACAACTCATCAAAGAAGCAGGTGAGGTCGATCTATTGACCAACTGTCGACTAAACTGTTGTGGTATCTATCCTAACCTGAAGCATTAACTAGAAAGGGGATTTTACAAGCATATAGGATAGCTGAATGCACCTGGACAGAAGGAGAGATAGCACAATTGTTTACGAGACAATTGGTCAAAGGATCGGCTTCACTTGTCTCTTTGACGAGTTGTTGTGTGGTGCTAAGACTGGCAAGACACACTGACGATGACGGCTACGATGCCGGCGAAACGCCTGGAAATGTACCAAGTCCACAGTCCGACTCTGGAAATTATCATGTATACAATGGCCCTTAGAACAAGATGTGTTGGGTTTCGAGGAATCTCTTGTTTCATAATTGTTGAGCTTACTTCCATTTCGAGTGAAAGTGAAGGAGATTGCCTCGGAACCAGCGTCAGCATAAATCTTTCAGTAAAGCCAAACGACAGCTGGTCAAGAGGAATCCGCCGTCGTCTTCTGGTGGAACCGACCAGTGTTCCTCTTGCCCCTCCCGCCTGAAAATACGGTCAAGTTGCGAAAACAAGGTCAAACCACTTCTATACAACGAAAGGTGACCTCGACGATACTAAAGACCACATCATCTTGGGCTGGATACGTTCGATTAAACTACCTTTTATAGCCCTTTTGCTCAAGGAGGTAACCATGGTTTGATCGGTTATTTTATA